ATTTCTAATAAGTCCTAATAGTTGAACTTAATTCTCATCAAATCCTACTGAAAATAAGTCATAATAAAATCGTAAATAAAAATAATTTTTTGTGACGATTTTTTGCATGTCACTAAAAATTGACAATTAATAACTTTTTTTTATCACGATTTTTATAAATTGTCAACAAAACTTACAATTAGTAACGTTTTTCTGTGATGAATTTTTCAAATTGTCATTGAAAGTTGAAAATTAGTGACTTTTTGTGACTTTTCTTTAAACTGTCGCTAAAATTTATAATTAGGGATATTTTTGTGACAAAATTTTCAACTGTCACTGAAAATTAACAACTAGTGACATTTTTTAATAGTGTTTGATGAAAAAAACTATTAATTATCATAAAACTTATTAAACAATAAGTTCACCTATTAAAATTTACACGTAAGTCCTCCTAATTTCAAGAGTGGACATTGAAATCGCACAATAAACATATTGCCCTTCGTTAGAAATTTAAACCAATAGCTAATATGGTAAGTGATCAACAAAAAACAAGCCACTACCACCGTCTGAACATTCCTGAATTACAAGTCTAAATTCAAAGTTTTGGGACTGTTTCAGGTAACTGACCACATTTAAAATATCAATTTTTTCCTCATTCACTTCAATATCAATGAGTGTACACGTACAAAATTAACCGTAAAGTCAATCACATAAACCATAGGTGAGGTAAATTAATCTGATTAAAACTATTTCTTTATAAGGATCCCACTATCTAATATGCATGATCAGAATTGATTTACGTAATTGATTCTATGGTGGATTCTATATGCATAAATTTTAAGTACTCAAGTATAAACAAGTGTACATTTCCAAATACTTATCATAACAATTAGAAAACTTGAAAAAGGTTGAACAAAAGTATAATTGATTAAAAAATCTTATAATCAATGTTTACCTTTTTCTATTTTGTTCATGAAAATTTTTTAAGTTATGTTTGCTTCATGAATTTAGATAGAAATTTATATATATCTAAAATGTAAGTAAAATATAATTATTTTTCATTCTAAATTTTTATTTAAATTTATAGACCAACTTCAAATTGAATTCTAACTTAACCCCAGGGTCAATGTCAAGCACTGGATATATACTACTAACTTTTTTTTTTTTTTTTTTGGTTGCATCTTCTTTTCGCATGGTGGAAGAAAGAAAAACACACCAAGTATTTGTGATGTGGCCACAATGGAGTGTTTCAATCAACACAACAGTGAAGTATGTAGGAAATGGTAGTACCATAAAGAAATCTTACTAGCACCATGCTTACCTTAAACACCTATACCGACGACAGAATCTTTTGCATTCATCATCTTTTAACTTTTATGCAATCTATAAATTATAGACTATAATATATTATTAATAATAGCAGATACACTGAACTTGGTGCGAGTTATTTTAAATAAGTGTATTTTTTAAATTTTTATAAAAAAATTGTAAAAAAATAAAAATAAGATGTTGACTGATGTGATTCAAAAAAATAAAAAGATAGACTTATTTAATCCATGTCAAACAATCACAAAAATATATTATGAAAATTATTGCGTACCTTGTATTCTCTCACACCCACCATACATGAATTAAATGTAAACCAAACAATAATGTTTTATGTACAGATTCTATGCACATACATTTTTTGATTATATATATATAGGGGTGTAGTCACGATTTTTTTGTTTTTTATGAAAATATTAAAGGTAAAAGTTATGTATAAAGGCAGTGCCCCTATCTTATTCTGAAAGTAGGTATCCAATATAAACACGGTATGATAATATCATCAATTATTAAGAAATCTCATATTGAGGTGATGGAGATAGAGTTCCGTTTATTTTGCATATTAAGGCCTCTTTTGAGAACAGGTTAATTTAGGAGTTATTTGAAATGATTTAAATAAGTGTATTTTTTGTTTTTTTATGAAAAGATATGCAGAAAAATAGAGAAATGATGTGATGAAAAAAAGATAAAAAAATAAAAAGTGTGTACTTATTTAGGATAACCAAACTTAGCCTTAGTAACTTTTTAGTTATTTGGCTAAAATATGCCCTAAAAAAAACTAGTATGTTTGGGATGCTTTTTGACTTTTTACGAAAAGATGTGCAAAAAGTAGAGAGAAAAGAGAATTTTTGACTTTTTAGTATGAGTTATTGATTTTTTAACTAATTTAGTAACTTTTTTACTAAAAAAGAAAGTTCCCAAACGAGACCTAAGTTAAATAGAATTATGAATACAAAGAGATTGATTGATAAGATTTATGATGGTAATAGATTAGACATGTAAGATAAAATTTGTTTGTTTATATTGGCCCTGTTTGGTAGAGCTGTGGAAAAGTGCTTATACCTTATACCTTAACAGCTTATAGCTTATAACTATGAATATAAGCTGATTTCTGACTTATAAATTAAGCTTCTCCTGCCTCACTCAAAGAATAAACTGATTTCTGACTTACAAAAAGTTATAAGCTGCATTGTTAAGCTAAACCAAACACATCAAAATAGCTTAAATTAAGCTGAAAGCTGAAATAAGCTGAAAAAAAACTGTACCAAACAGGGACATTCTAATGTGATAGTATTACATTTATAAAATTAAATAAAAATTCTTATTATATAAATATGACTTTGTCAATTTTTGTAAAAAGAGGATAAAATAATCTTTCACTGTCAATTCAAGAGGATTGAATTAAGAATCTCAACTCTCTCAGAAGGCTGATCCTACTCTTATTGGTGAGTGGGTAGTCCTATTGGAGTAACAGTAGCATAGCATTTTAATACAATCAAAAGTGATTTGGATGGCCCCACAAATTGTTAATCCCATCCCTTTCTTAGTTCTTAGAGGCTAAACAAACATGAATATGGTTGGATTAGTAGGTAGTGGACACATGTGGCTGGATTATTAGGTCACAAATTGTCCATCTAATTCTATGCGCGGTATTTTATTGGTCTATATTACTTCCACCCATCTTACTCAATGGTAAATGGAAAAATTACGCGATTAGATTCTATTTTCTCAACCTGATTTACTAATGATGACCACAACAAAAAAAAATTATTTTATTTTTTATTTTTTGACTTTACTTAACGGTTTGAAAAAATTTATTTTTAGATCTTTTTAAACTAAATAGACCTAAAAAGTAAAAAAATAAAAATAAAAAATTGACAAAAAATTTAGAGTAAATTACAAAAAATATAAATTATCCCTGTGGTACTAGGAATTACATCCCACCTCTTAAAATTTTTAATTTTATAACAAATGACTCTTTTTATTAATAAATCATCATTCAATTAACATTTTTTAATGATGTCAAAATTTATTTCAATTAATGATTTAAATAATTTTATTATTATATAAGAGAGTAGTTACGAATTTTATTTTTTCGATTAATTCTGTTAAATAAAACATTATGACAATTGGGTATTTGTAATTTTTCAAATCACAGAGGTAATTTATTTTTTAAGCAAATTTCATGGAATATATTTGTGATTTACCCTAAAATTTAAAAAAACAAAATTACTAGAGACAAAGAAATTCAGGGGGAAAAAACACAAACAAAAACAAAACGTAACTATTTTAGCTATTGCAACCATTAAAAAAAATAAAAAAACAAAAAAAAACACTACTTTAGCTATTGCCTAACAAAGAATTATGTAAAAATTTTGAAATATATAAAATCTCAATACATAATCCAATGATTAATAATACGTTAAGATAAAGAGACAAATAAATTTAAAGGCAAGGAATCACGTGTTATAGTAGTTGGTATCACCACTCCAAAAAATTTTATATTTTATTCAAATTTTCTTCACCTCCTTTTCCCTTAAAGGGAAATTCTACTTACACTATCAATTTAACTCATTACACCCTCAAATTCAAATTTTTTATTTTATAGTTTTATAATTTCTATAATTCCATTATTACCCACATTTCTAACATTCCTCCTCCTTCTCCTTCTCCTTCTCCTTCTCCTTACACCCAAAACCTAAAATTCATTCACAGATTTATAATCAAATGAAGAAGAAGATGTTGAATCTCCAACCCCGATTGCCCATCTCAACAAATCATCAAACAGTTGGTGTGCATCTTAAGTGGCTTCGAAAAACTACACAGAAAGTTTGAACACCCTAATCACAACTAACGAAGACCCACCCATTTTTCTTCTTTTCAAGTGGATTATATACATCAAAGACCTCCCAATTCACATGTTACAGATATATCACAATCAGTATGCATAGTACATATGATTGATAACATAAAATTCATATTAAAAGGTGAAATGGTATAGCAATTTCAGAACACACGAATTTGTGAAAATCAAAAAGAACAATGTATAGAAAGATTCTCGGTGGTTTCGATCGCAAGTGGGGCAAAAGAAAAAGGTGGTCGAAGCTAGGGCCTGCGGCGGAGAAGATGGTGGTCGGAAGTGATGATGTGGGAGAATTAGGGTTAGAGTTTTTTTTGAAGTTTTGGATGTAAGGAGGAGGAGGAATGTTAGGTATAAAAATAATAAAGGAATTATAGAAATTTTAAAAATAAAATAAAATAATTAAATTTTAAGGGTGTAAAGAGTTAAATTGGTGATGTAAGTAAAATTTCTCCTTTTTAAATCCCTACTTAAATCGACACTTCAAACACAACCACAATAAATTGTTAATTTGCACATATAGAAATGTCATACTTCTTTTCTTTTTGGGTCTGACCTTTTGCTTGGTTTCATATTTTCCTCTGTATTGGTATTACAAAACAATTAACAGGCCAGTAAATAGAAGAACGGCCCACACATATCCAGTAAGCCCATTGTATCAATATCAGCTCACCCAGCCCAAGGTGCAGTATTAAGGCCCAAAAACCCCAAATAATAATAATAATTAATAACCTGAGAAAGGCTGATCTGTTCTCTCTTGTGTGAAAAGGGGGTAATTATTCACTACGAGCACCGTGTGACCTTATCCCCTAGTAGATCAAACCAACTAACTCACTTTTGTTGAATAATTAAAAGACAAAAAATGATGATGTATCACAATGTTTCAGGAATATCATGTAAACAAGGTCACAAGATACTCAATAATACCCATTTAGGTTTTGTCAAGACAGAATCCTTCAACTCTCTCTACATACAACAATTAGTGCCTCAAACCCATATCCATGTCCTTTCTCCTCCAGTTTTTCCTACTGATGATGAAATGGGGAGGTTATCAACTATGCCTTGATGTTCGATCTTCCGGGGGGATGAAAGACTGAGTAACTGCCAAACCAAACCTTGCCACATGTCCAATCAATCGAGGTTTGAATCGTTTTTCGACATTCCACTATCAAAAGTTGTATACAAGGCTAGGTGGCATCATAAAATCCAATTGCCATTAAAAAAAAAAATTTTGCCACCTCAGAAAACGCATCAACCGAGTAATGATCATATCTATCTGTGTAGACGATGCTGGTGAGTGTAAGTGATCATCTCCCCAGTGAGCTCAAGGCAAAGGCATCGGAGGCTTCCAGTGACTGAATTCAACCAAGTTTCTATTTACTATAGATCTATTGTGGAGCCAGAAAGTTTCGGCTGACTGGTGAAATTGCCTGACTTTCCTCTGAAGTTCCCACAGAATTCCATTAAATGCTGAGCAAGGCTCCAATTCGGGAGCGTAAACCCATAAGCACCTCACCTGTCTTCCATAGGCAATCATCCTCTCTATATCTCTATCTGAGAAGTAAACTAAAGTCGTTAGCCACAATGCTACAGGCTAGAAAGAAAAAACAAAAAAACAAAACAAAACAAATTTGGACATTAGCGCGGGAATTTCACCTGGTACTGATTCTAGGTACTCCAAAAGTTCAGAACCTATACGATTCCACGGCCATTTGATTGATATCTGAGTGTAGTCAATAACATTCTGAAAAGGCAACTCTGCATAATCTGATATGATCACTGGGACACACTCCTGTTTAGTTCAGGCAGTTGTGTTAGGTCTCTGTCTGATTGTGTCTGTGAAGAGAAGAGAGAGAGACAGAGAGAGAGAGAGAGAGAGAGTACCACAAAGAAAGATTCATAAAAGCGAAGAGTCCATGAGGACTCACCACGCGGGGCCAGGCAGAACTTGGCATTTCGGAGGTGTTCAAAATATTCTTTCTTTCCCAATTTGTTAGGGCCACTGAACTTCAACTCTGGGGATTCCAACTGTATACAAAATCAGTATCCGCGTATTTAGAAGGAAATATCTTTCCAATAAGACATAGCAATCAAGAGAAACCATATAGAAAATAAGACGTATTTTGCTCAACAAGGCAGTGATATGCATGTATGACAACCATACAAGTTCAATGCCTAAGTCTAGAATGCATAAAAATTTCTTTATGGATCCCACTCTAGGCAATACAATCATTAATTGTAATTATCATCTAACATCATGGTTAATCATGGGGTGAACAAAATGAAGCTAATTCAGATGTTTTTTGCGCCCTTTCTCGGGTATGTTTTGAGCATCATTGTAACCATCTTCTTTTTTTCTAGTAATAAATAACTTGGTTACCCAAAAACCCAGAAGTTACAGAAAAGACATAGTTACCTTATCTGGGTATTGCTTTGCAAGCTCTACCAATTGAAGACGACCAACCTTTCCTTGTGCTCGACCAAAGAAGTTTGCCAAATACTTCCTCTTAAATAAAGGCAAAGGCTGGACCAGCCTATCCGAATGAGCAGTCATCCCATCATCAACATTTCCAGGGATGATGATATCCTTCCATGTATTGAAGGCACTAGTATCTCGCTTATCCGTGCGGTCCCCCTGTAATAAATCACATACAAAATTCTTGAAATCAAGAGCAGTTATGCGAGGCATCATCAATTTGAACGAATAAGCATAAAAACGTCAAGTTCACATGCGTTTTCTAAAACAAAACAGTGTCATATAATTGTGTAGCGGAAGTCAATGTTGGTACCTCAGGGAGTAAGAATTAAACGATTCAAGTACGTAGCCCAAGATCTAAACAAGTGAGCTCCAGCACCACTGCAATTGGGTGAGAGAAAGCATGTATGGATCATTCATTAACAAGAACAGCTTAGTAAATTCACATAAAATGGAAAGGTATTAAAAGAAGACGACAAACACCAAGAACAATGGTTGCAAATGTAACTACATATTTTGCCTTCTATCACATGGGTGATGTCAAAAAAAAAAAAAAATTGTTAAATCTAACATTAAAAAAGATACGAAGAAACACCAGTCAGACCTAAGCCAATGAAGTGTTCCTAAAGGTCCCATTTGTTTGGCTGCTTCAACAGCCGGATTGGAGTAGGATGGTTGTGGGTCCCACCCACAGCACGTTTGGTAATGATTTGGGAGAGCCACTTCATACATCAAGCGCCTTACTAATCCCCCTCAGTAGGGGGGCTTAGCTTGGTTGGGTAAACCGTTGGGTTAGGAAATTAATAAGCAGATTGAGTGTATCCAGACATCCGCCCGGTCGTCCTCCCGAACGTTCGGTGCAGTGAAATTTTATTTTATTTTATTTTTTTCAAACATAACCGGCTAGCCAAAAAAACATTCGGCCGGACAAAAAAATAACTAACCAGCCAACTTTTTTTTTTTTACTGAAGTGCACCTTTTGTTTTAATATTTATTTTAATTTTTTATAACATAGAAATAATTTTTTAATTTATTTTATTTAAAAATAATTTAACAATATCATCATTAACCATCTCCCGCACTATTATCAAAACAAACACACTTTTACTTAATTCTTTTACTAGCAATTCCCCCATTAAGAATCTCTTCACTGACCATCTCCCATTAACAATCTCATCTAGCCTAATCTGCCAAACGAACGTGGCCAAATTAACTTCCACAATCTATTTAAATTCAACATGATAAGTCATGTTAAAAGTGATTAAACACAATAGGAAACAATAACTACACAATCGTACCTTGGGAAGACAAAGATGTGGTTGCGGCCACCAGATAGCCTGAAATATGGCATTTGACTTAACACCTAAAAGCAAAAGATGACAACATTAGTGAAATATAACACTTTCATGACGTAAACTACATACCAATGTCAACTAAAAGAGAACCAAGAATACACAAATGACTAATACAGTTCTTGCTTGATGTTCTGCTCTAAGAACCACAAACACGGACGGAGATACGATCTGGACATGTTGACGCGGCAATTTTCAAAAAAATGTAGGACACGACAAGGGAGGAAATGCAATGCAATAAAGATAAGAAAAGCAATGCAACATAACATAACATTAATTCCTATAAATTTACATTGTTTCTCTTATCATTGTATCATTAAGTTATTTTGTTGGAACTTATAATTAGTTTTATAGATATCTAAATGATGGACACATTTGTCCTCCAAATTGTCTGGGTCTAAATTTTAAAAAACGAAAAGAAAAGAAAAGAAAGAAAAAAGGACATGCTTGGACAAGTCTGGTTGATCATTGAAGATTTTGAAGCATTGAAATGCAGTATTACCTTCACATAAGTCTGGTTGATCTCTTTATCATTCAGACCGCCCATCATTCGGACACATTTAACATAACTTGGAACAAAGAAAAGATCGGCTTCCTCTTTCTTTCTTGTCCGAAATCTCGACTGTAAAAGCATCCTGTGTATTTTAACCTACATTTCATATTACAAACAACATCAACATAAAAACTAAATTACCAACACAGATCATATATAACAAAAAAAACAACAAAAATTTTTGAATCCTATAAAAATTCCCCATTCAAACAAACACAAATTAACCACAATACACAACAAATTATAAAAAATAAATAAAATAAAAAAATCGAAACCCTAGAAATTGGGGAATTGTGTATACATACCTGAGTGCCCCACTGGCCTTTGAGGCAGGAGTCGGGGGAGATGTTGCCGTCGCGGCCGTACAATAAGGGCATGAGGCCGTCGATCTCGAGCTCATCGTAGACGTAGATCTTGAGGGAGAGGTGGGACCCATACCCTCGGTGGGGCCACGAGATTGAGCCGCCGCCGCCGTCGGTGGAGAAGGCGGCGGAGGAGTGGTTGCAAGGAGCGGGGGAGTACTGGTCGAAGAGTCTTGTGAGGAAGAAGGTGGCGGCGACGAGGGCTAGGGCTGTGATCTGGTGGGTTCGGGTGCAGGGAGGGTTGTGATGGGGTCCCATGAGTCTACCACTGGGTTTGTTGTTGCTTAAGCTTCCCATTTTACTGAGTTAGTAATGATGATGATGAGTATGAGCAATCCATCGACGGGAAGAAGACGATGCAGAGAACAGAGAACACACGGTGTCGTTCCAAAAGGACCGAGCTGCCCAGGTGCATTAAAAAAAAGGTAAATTATAAACCCAACTGATATTTAATTAAATTACAAATTATCTTATATGATTCTAGTTAAAATTTCTAATTTCATAGCCAGCAGGTTATTTTATTTATAAATTATCAAGTTAATTAATAATTTTTAATAATGTTAAAATTTTATTTCAATTAATAATTTAAATAATTTTATTATTATATAGATGAACAGTTAAAAATTTCACTTTTTTAATTAATTTTGTTAAATAAAAATTTTTGACAAATAAATATTTATAATTTTCTAAATCACAAGAAACAATTTATATTTTAAGCAAATCGCAGTATCCTTAAAAAATATTGTTTAGGAAAAACAAATCACTTTTGTAAAAAAAAAACAAATAAATAAAATAAGAGTGTAACTCGGACGGACGGGTAGAGTGATTGTCTAGATTTGGCTTTTTCAGAAAAAGATAAAACGTCAAAAAGTAATTAAAAAAGTCAAAAAATTATCCTACTTTCATGCATTGGGCAGCAAAATTGTGTCTGAATCTGCAGAGGGTAAGAATACAATTTTGCCCTTGCTTTGTATTCCTTCCTCTAAAACAGATATATCACAATAATATATCCTCTCACCCGAAGTTCCCCTTTCCTTCTCCAACCTGTATTCGTCATTGAACAACCAACACAGTTCCAAAAACAAATCACTTTTGTAAAAAAAAAAACAAATAAATAAAATAAGAGTGTAACTCGGACGGACGGGTAGAGTGATTGTCTAGATTTGGCATTTTCAGAAAAAGATAAAAAGTCAAAAAGTTATTAAAAAAGTCAAAAAATTATCCTACTTTCATGCATTGGGCAGCAAAATTGTGTCTGAATCTGCAGAGGGTAAGAATACAATTTTGCCCCTGCTTTGTATTTCTTCCTCTAAAACAGATATATCACAATAATATATCCTCTCACCCGAAGTTCCCCTTTCCTTCTCCAACCTGTATTCGTCATTGAACAACCAACACAGTTCCTTAGTCGGAGAATCAAGTCCACTCCGTCATGCTCACACCATTGACTGCCGGAGATCCGTCGCACCCTTCACCGTGCTGCACCTCTACAGCCGTAGAAAAGTCTGACCTCAACTCGATCGCATGACAATAGTAACCGACGGCTATCGGACCATCCGTTGCCCAGATCTGCACCACTGCTGACTAGATCTACACCACTCCGGCCCGTTTCCCCCTAACTACAAGGTAACATCTCTTCCACGCAAATGAATTTTCGCATTTGAACCATTACTGTACAGATCCCCCTTTTGTCTAAGCAAAGCAAATCAATACCTAACAAAATAACTTGTTATTTTTGTTTACTTTTATAAAATACCTTTGAAGCATCATCAACAGATACCAGAGTTTAAGAGACAAGAACATGACCAGATGTCCATTGTCCCCAACTCATGGTTTGTTTTCTGCATACAATGTTTGGTACTGCAGAAGAAATTTGATAAGATATAGAAAGGTAAATAAAAAATACAGGATTAGAAACTGAAATATAGATTTTTATTATAGCAGATTTGACATTCTCAGGATAATGCAATTCATGTAAACATTAAAAACTTACATCTTATTCCTCAAACATTTATTAACATGACTAGGATCCTTGTACCAATCAGCTAGAGAATCTTCAGGTATGGAGTGTTCATGAAAATCAATCTCACACAGCTAGGGAAGCTATGGTAGTATATATGTATAAAACTTAAGTTGTAGCCAGTGCTAGTTTATATATATATATATATATATATATATGTATGTATGTATGTATACACACACTGACACACATACAGGGTTGTTTTGGGAAGTTGGTAAAAAGCTGGCTTTTAGCTTTTTACCAAGCTTTTTGACATTTTTGGAAGTGATTTGGAAAGTTGGTAAAAAGCTGACTTTTTGCTTTTTAGTTTAATATTTATTTATGGTGTCAAATCAAACTTTTTGACTTTTTTGGAAGTGATTTGGGAAGTTGGTAAAAAGCTGACTTTTTGCTTTTTAGTTTAATATTTATTTATAGTGTCAAATCAAATTAAAATGACCAAAATACCATTACCCAACATAAGAGATTTATTTTTTTTATTTTTTTTTCATAGGCCCTAATTTGTAATTTTAGGGCTGCATTTTTTGCACTTCCCAAAGGGATTTTGTTGCGTTTTTGGCAGCCACGTTTTTGGACATTTTGTCCAAAAATGTGGCTTTTTACTATGTTCCTAAAATGGCACACAGTGCACCTATACTAACTGTGATTTCCTAAATTGTTGTTTGGAGAGTGAAAATTGATATGCCAAGTGGTCAGTGCTAAGAGAATGCTCCGATCCTCCTCGGCGCAAGCTGTGGAGTAGGGCATCTGGATGACTTTTGAGGCCTGAAGACCTACATTTTTGGTTCCCCTAATTCGAAGCTTGGGATCCTTATTGTCTCCGATGTTTTTCGTACTTTTCGTATTGTAATTTCTGTGTTTTTTTCTTCGATATTTGATCTGACAACGTGTTCATCTGGTCTACAATTGAGTGTTTTTCCTTAATTTCATTGCAATCGGTATTGGGTCATACATTTATGATACATAGCTCATGTTTGTCCATATGTAACTGTACTTCAAGTGAGTATTTTTTTGTTATCATTTTTTATTGTTGTTTTTACATTTTTTATAAAAAAAAATATAATAATGTGAGTTTGGGAAGAACGTTTGTAGTATAATTTTTTGTGAGTTTGGGAAGAACGTTTGTAGTATAATTTTTTGGCCTTTTGTCTAATTTAGCTCTGTTTGAGAATTGTTTATATGTTTTTTATTTTTTCCCAATTTGTTTTTCAATTTTTTCAATTTTTCCACGTATACCAGAATTGTTGTTGCATTGTAGTACGCAAATGGAGCAATCCCAAATGCAGTCGACACGTTCCAAAACTTTGCGCAAGCATGGTAGTAAACAGACGCAGCAGCAGTCCGCAAATGTGCCTAAAGTAGCTTGGGACTCCGACACGGTGCGAATTTTCTTGGAACTTGTTATCAAAGAGTTGGACACTAGTTTCAAGGGGAGCTTCCATACAATGACAATGCATGGATATAGAGCTGTCTGCAAGGCCTTCTAAGAGCGTACAAATAAGGGGCATGGCGTCAAGCAACTGCAAAACAAGTACAAGTTGCTAAAAAAGGATTGGTAGTCGTGGTCGAAACTGATGAACAGCAGGCATGGGCTAACCAGCATAAGTTACAATGAAGCGATGGGTTTGATACAAGCATCTGACGACTGGTGGGTGTATTACGAAAATGTAACATTTCCAATGAGTTTTACTCACGTCCAACATGATACTCATGCATATATTAGAACGGCAGTGGTAGATGCCTTGAATTCTAGGCCTCGAATTTGGCTCGAATTCCTCTTTTTTTCTTTTTTTCTTTTTTTTTCTAGATGTGTTAATTAGTTTTTTTTTTGTGTGTTTTTTTTAGTTTTTTTTTTAAGGGTGGTTATGTGTTGTGCCAAAAAAATTATACATTTCGCACCAGCACATTGTACAAAATTATATGAAATTAACAAAACGAAAACCAACAATCTAACTGATCAATCAATTTTATCAATCAATCAGTCCAACGTAATTGACTGATCAGTTAGCCTGTTGGTTAAAATTTGTTAATTCCATATAATTTTATACGATGAGTTGGTGCGGGATGTCTAATTTTTTGACACACCTCTACACATAACCACCTTTAAAAAAAACAACCAAATCAACACAGCCCAACAAATAAAATTTAATTAAATTTAAAAAAAAAAAACCAATACAACCAAACAAATAGAAGAAAAACAAAAAACTCAGCCTATGTGGTTTAATAAGGTGAGTGAGTTGGGTTGGACTGGTTGGGTGATAAAATTATACAACCAGTCTAATCCAACCACTCACCTTATCAAACTATACAAGTTGAGTTAGTGCGTGATGTCTAGTTTTTTAGTATACTTCTACACAGAACCACTTTTGTAAAAAGAAAATATAGGAAAAATTTTTTTTTAAAAAAAAAAACAGACTAACACAGGCACAAAAAAATAAAATAAAATGGTATTCACGGCCTCAAGCATTATTGATATTAGAAGCATTATTTTATGTAACTGTTGATTAATATTTTTATTTTAGCACAAATTATGAAAGCCTTATTAGTCCTTGTATTCAATGAAATGCAATGTCACTTGGTTGGACAGACAAAATTAATGTAAGATAGATTGAAAATTTCAATTTCTTGGGGGTAAGGTTTATGAGTTTCATTGGCCATGTACTACTGCTGTATGACTAATGTTAGACACCTATTTTTCATCCCAAGTAGCTTTGTTATACTTGCCAACTTGGTTGTGAATGTGAATGGGCATTTACTAGTAGTGTTCCGTCTATAAATTGCTTCTCTGTTCTGTCTTCCTTACTCAATTCTATGACACAATTGAATAAGGAAACATAGTTATGATTGGAGCAAACACAAAATATATTATTCACTTCATTGGTTTAATTTGACTAGAACATTGAAAATGAAATATCAGCTACACATCAGAAACTTCAATTGAAACACCAACAGGCACACAAAACATGTGGCATACACACTTGTAGGTGTCACCCCATTCAACCCTAGGATTTGAAATTTTAAAACTTTTGGATGATAGATGTTTCAATAAGGAAACATTTCAGGATGTTCCATCCAAAATGTTTGCAATCTAAAATGATACAAGACAGTACTGTATTGTAATTAGGAGGAATGGAGCCTCATTTGGCTACAAGTTCATTGTTTATGCATTTTTGAATTGGCATCACTGTTGCGAACAAATATAAGGAAAATGGAACATAGATATCAAAGGTAGAACCTGACATTACAAAGCATGTTGACAAACTCCTTAAGAGCTCGAACCTGAATAAATTGGAAGGCAGAAATATTGACCACTATTAATAAACATCTCTGCATAAACATCAAAAGCTAAGAAGGGACATGATGAGAAGAACTCTCAATTCTCAAACAAAAAAAAAATTA